CCATTTTCCCTGGTAGAGCCACCACGTGTAAAGAATTCCAAGAGTCTGCCTAAGAGCAGATTCAGGGATTGGACTGGACATCAGAGGATGCTGCAAAAAAACAAAGCTCTTCTACAGAGCTTCATGAAGGCTTAGCACTTAAAAAGCAGGGAAAGTTAGAAATCCACCCCAACTCTCCCCTGGGAGTACTAAAACTTCATCTAGAATATAGCAGCTCTCCCCAGGCAATTCTAAAAGGCATCGAGATTTCTACAACAAAGGGTGAAAAAAAAGGAGTGAAGCAACTCGAAGCCAGGACTCAGATGGAGAAGCAAAAGGACCTTCCTAAGTCAGTGCCAAGGTAGATACATGGATGGGGTTGTTGAGCAGCTGTGCTGCCTCACGAAACCATATCGAAACTGATGCAAGTCTTGTGAGCGATGCTGGCCCTAAGAGAGACACAAGGGGCCAAATAGTGCAGTGCATTAATACAGGACTGACAAAACCTCTGCTTTATTACTAGGTTTGTCGTGATCTGCAACATGACCTTGGACGAGTCACTCCACCTCTATGTGCTTCTGGCTACCATCTAGATAATTAGACTAAACTATTTGGTGTGAGGGCTGCATCTAATTATAGATTGGTTTGGCAAGTAGCACAATTGGTTACCGATACTGACAAAAGTCATCAGGCAAAACTGAAATACAAAGAGCAACTGCGGCCAGTCACTTGCACAAGCACAAAATTGACATGGAGTCAAAAAGGCTGCATGACTAGGCAGCTCTCAGCACCAGTCTCATTTGCTCAGTCATCTGTGTCACAAGGATTCCCAAGTTTACCAAAGTATTTCTTTCTGGGAGCCTGAAGGAGCATCTCTAAGCCAAATACAAGAATTTGTACTTAACAGCATATTCAAAAAGCTTCTCTGTACAGCATTTAAGAGTGAGTAATTAAAGGTAATATTTCTGCAGTAGAGCTTCTCATTAGCAACCTAATTAGCCTTCTGAAAATAATTAACGTTCCTTTCTATAAAGGGAACAGATGACCCATTACATCCATTAGACAAGCAAAACAAATGCTGAAAGTAAGGAAGATTTGTTCAGGGAGACAGCAAGAGAAGCATCCAGCAGCACTACAAGTAAAATGGAAGAAGACAAGGCACAAATCCCTGTGAACCGCAAAGACTAGACTATGTATGTGGGTATGCAGGACTAGCACGCGCTTAACTGTCTGATGTATGCACCCAGCATTCACACTGAGCATTTTCATTCCTCTACCTCTAAGATTACCACTGGTAATCTCATCACTAAGAAACTGAAAAATTCCACCTCCAGCTTGTTTTGAAAGCCAGAATTAAAGGCTCTTAAATTCGACCATTCACAGTCACAAACAGCTCTCTCCATATGCAAATATTGCCCAAGGGTCATGTATTTTGACTATTAAAACACATTAAAAATGCCCATTAAAATAAAGCATGATTTAATGTCATATGACAGGAACAAATGAGTTGATGGCTAAGAACAGTATGAAGTACACCTCTCCAAGTTTCACAGGACAGTGCTTTGAGCAGTTAGCATGCCCTGAAAGAGTTAGGTGTACATTTCCTGATCAGTGCTTGTTTGAAAAATGTGTGTTCGTGCAGAGTCACAGGCATCGGTGGTGTGGGATGTGTGTGAAAGTACAGGTGAGAGAAAGCAAAGGACAAAGGTCAACATATCACTGTCTAGTGCAGCAAGAACTGTGGTATCAATATAGTTTGATGCACTGTTTCAGATAAAGAAGAAATAAGCTGAGCTTCCGAACATGCACATATTCAGATAACATGGCAAACATAACAAATTATGAAGATGCACTTGCATTTTCAGCCACTTCCGTGTTTGATGTATATTTACACTTTCCTGAACACTCATAAGCCTTCAAGTGTGACTGCAGTGAGGGCAAAGCTCAGCCATACAAAAGCTTCCATAGCTACATCACTATGGAAACCGCAAATCCATTGCCTGCTCTGTTTGTCTACTTCTTTCACTGATTAAAAACAAAATAAAAATGTATGCTTCCATTTTATCACCTTCTCACTTTGGTCAAGACCACAGGACGACAACCGCGTTTTACCTGCTTCAGAGGCAACTCTTTCATCCTTGACAGCCCTCTTCGTGAAACCCACCCAACCTCTCAACCCAGCTCAGCAGTCTTCCCCCCAGTTGCTTTCACCACTTCTTTCAGTGAGGCTCTTCAAACACAGTCTGGGATTTTATCTTAGCCTCCACACCCTCCCTCAGCTTCTGGACGGGGACAACTCCAAAGATGACTCATTCTAGGGCAAATCCAGTTAGCTGACATAATGAGAAGCTGAAAACTGTTCTGAACACAAGTTACAGTGTCTTATTTTAACTAGAGTTACATTCCCTTCCTTTCCACAAAGCTGTCAAGAACATTTGAAGTGCTCTCAAAATGGAGTAGGGCACACTGCAAGACAGCTGTAAATGCAAGGGTTACCTTTTTCCTTTAAGAAGTCCATCATTTCTACAGTTGTTGCTAGTTACAGGTAGCTTTTCCTGCACTAAAAATCTGAACACCTCTCAGCAAAAGCCTAATAGCCAAGAGCAACTCTGAAAGCTGCAGAAGGAAAATAGGGAAAAATGGTCAAAAATCTGCAGTATGGCATGCATGGTGCAGCTTGGGTATGTGAAGTGGCTGAAGGAACCTTCATACCAATCACTAGGAAGGAAAAAGCAAAAAATAGTTAAAACTCCTCTGCATCTAAGAATGTGCATTTTATGCTGAAGAACAGCCTCTGAACAAATCGTCAGCAACAGCTTCTCTCATACTGGGCACCTCTTACCTGAGCTCAGAGCAGTTCATGGAAGAGTTGGAGGAGAATTCAGTCTCTGCAGCTTCATAAGCCCTCGGTGCCTCTCACATTCAGTTGCCAACTGACAACCATTACACAGAAAAATGTCCACTAATAAATGAGTTGAGAAAAACTAAGTGTTTCACAGATGTCCCCAAACAGACACAAAAATACACTTCTCTCCACTAAAGCACTCTGCATGGTCAGAAAAATCCTGCCTGTGCTCAGAGGACACTTTGGCTTCTCAGCAAGACAGAGCTAAGAACAAAGTGACATAGTATAAGTTCACTCAGAAAATCCAAAGCAATACTAGACAAAAGATGCAACTCTCCCACCTCCCTTTTGCATAATGGGCCAGAGAAGGTAGGGCTTCCATCTTGGTCCTAACTCATTGCCCTCACCTCACAGACAATTCCAGGCTGGCATTACCAGTTGCATCCCAGATTCACCGGTGTTACAAGAATTCCTACTAACAACCCATGGGATGCTCAAAGGTTTATCTCTGTCCTTAAGGATGTTGCAATGCCCAAGCCAGTTTCATCAAGTACAGGCTGAACGGAGTGGTGATCACAGTCTGCAGGGTCATGGCCCCATGGCTTTGGCAGCAGATCAGTCTGCATCTCCAGCAGACAGCATCCTGAACAGCCTGAGTAGATGGAACATACGGGAGGCATTGGAGGAATGAATAATTCATAGTCTTGTTCTGCTGCCAATGGATCTATGTTTTCTATGTGCCCGTATGGCACTCCGTTTTTGTTTTAGCAGTAATAGGAGACTTCTGCACTTCCTTTGATGGTTCCTGAGGGCAGGCAAGAAGCAGCATTTGCTCTACTCACAGCGTTAGTACCACACAGCAGAACACTTGCCAGACAAAACTTTCTTCAGAAATACTCATGAGTGCATCACTGACAAAACAGCTGGACTCATACAAGGCTCAGTCCATCACAAGCAGCCTTCTTGGGAAGCTGCTGACACTTGCTTTGTCATAACCTTGCAGCACTGGTCTGGACTTTACTGCTCAACAGATGACACTTGATGACCAACTGAAGCCCTGTATTCAGCTGCACAATGGGCAGCAAAATCACAGCTGGAGCTCGAGGCAGCAGCTGACCCTGCTTATCCACAATGTTAGCACTGCCACAATTAAGTCTACTGCTTTTCCTCAGCAGCTGATTGGGTCTCCTCCCTAGTCTCAGAGAGGGACAGGGGTCTATCAGCAAGAATACCCCCAACATAGCATCTCTTTCACACTACCAAAAGAGGGTCATGAGACACCCGAGACAGGACGGGCTGAGGGAGGAAGGTGCTACATGTATCTGAATTTTATACATGTAGCACCTATATACTCAAAGCAAGTTCCCAATTAAAGTACTGTGCACAACCTAGCCATGAAACCTTATCCACAAAAGGGAAAACAATACTGTAGCCTGAACCATTGCATGCTGTATCAGAGCATGATTAACATCCTGCGAGGGCACCACACCACATACTGCAGACACACAGAGCAGGCAAAAAATGCTGCAGGGTCTGGAGATTGTTGTTGAGGTCCCACAATGGCTCATTTACCAGAATCAATATCAGGTTTTCTCATCCTTTCAATCTGATAGCATTTTACATGCAGTCTGTGCAAGTGTAACAGACTGCCCCAGCACACAAGAGAGTGGCAAGATGAGGCTAAAAAGATTAGTAGAGTAACATACTAGCGAATCAGATGCAGAAGCTGCACTGCTTGTTAGTGCCAGGAATAGATTCCTCATCATCCGACTCACACCTGTGCCTTTACCGGAGAGAACAACCCTTGGTTCTTTACCTACTGCTCTGGTTTAGCTCAGAGATACTGCTCCACTGTCCTGATTGCTTCAACTGCCTAAGGCTATCAGAGCGTGAGGTTTTAAAGAGACAATAACACTGAAAAGTTTGGCAGTATAAACTACGAGCAACCAGAATGATATGATTCAAAGTAGACAGAAAACAGGGGTGATGTGTGCAAATGGAGATCTTACAGCTCCAGAAAACAACTTGTAGTCTAAACCAATGGAAATAACTTCATAGTCTACATACTTAAATTTCAAAGTCCCATCTACAATGCAGTCATCTCTGTACTCAGAGAACTGCTCTGTTCTTCTGGTCTACAAGTGCAGTCCAACCAGTTTTACCCTCCAGAACTTACCTTTTCCAGGGAGGGTTCCTGGAGCTCTCCCACTTTTTGGTCAGCTCCTAGTTCACAGCATCCGCAGGTAGACTAGGTTGCCTTCGGCAAGTCCAAGGTGTTTCAGACTCCAGTGGTTTTCAGATCAGGTGTACGTGACCAACAGCTCATACACCAACCAGACAGCCTTCCTAAACCAAAGAAGTACAGTTTAATCTTAACGTAACACAGTGCAAGAGAGGCTTTAAACGCTGAAAGAGCTATGTGTACAGATAGCTTAGCTCCAGTACACTGGGCCCTGGAAGACCTGACTTCTTCAGAGCCCTCAGATGAGCACCCATACCTGTCCTTTGCCCAGGGCAGCTCCCTGACAGGCTGCCTCTCCCCTGGTGAGGCTGAGACTTTGTACTCTTCACTTCAGCCACAGCAAACACAGGGAGCAACTTCACTGGAGCCAGTGACCAAAGGTTCACTGCTACCCCAGGTCGGCCAAGGTCTCAGTTAATTCTTGAAGGGTCTACAGAAATTAGTTTATTTTCCTAGCCAATCTCCCAATTTTTAAGTAAGCCTCACTGTTTACTCCTTTTCCCCCCATCCTCTTTCTGCTAACATTGCCTCCCTACAATCCAAGTACTTGTCTATACATAGCATTTTTCTGGATTAATTGCATACGAAGAAGTCAAAGCGAGGACACTCAGACTGTGTAACAAATGAGCTCTTCACATTATCTTACTCAATCTCAGAGTTTTTGAGCACCAAAGTCCAAGAGGAATTCAGGAGAAATGTTTTCTTAAGAAAAAAAACCAACAAAACAAAAACCAGACCTACACTATTTTGACTTATGGACACTGTGCTACAAAAACACTTTGATTAAAAATGCAGATTAAATAACTAATCCTCCCAAAAAAACCTTCCCACCAAGATTAACATAGCAATGAATAATATAAAACCACTAATTAAATCAATGTAACATGGGTATTATAGACACATTTAGCACCTTCTGCCTAGGCACTAAAGCTTGCATCTACTTTGGAGTCTCTCTTATCATGAGAATTAGGTCCTATTTCAACAGCTAGGTAATTTGTATATCAAACTGGGAAAGAACTTGTTTGTTACCTAGCTTTGGTATAAATTGCTGTCACGTTGATGTTCCTAAAAATTATTTGCATGTTATCTATTTTCATTATACACATTTTGTCACTGTTGAATATAGGTTTCTACTGAACTATTTATTAGACACACAAAAACAAAATTTTTTAAAGCATTTGCCTAGAATCACAGAACACTGAGATTGTTTTTTACACAGTCAGATACACTTGTCTATGATTTGATATTAAAAGACTGAGAAACAAACACATATGAAATAAGCAACTGCAACACACTCCCAACTCCTTCAACAAGAAATATAAACATTAGAGAAGGTTTCAGGCCAATCTAACTTTAGGACAACGCAGTCCAACTCAATTCACCCCCTTCCCTAGCACTGGCACTCAAGCCATCCATGGGGCTTCACCAGGAACCAGATCAAGGAACTCAACAGCCATCTGAATGCTACACCCATGCTACCCTAATGCCTGTTAGTTCTCAGCTGTATCACCTCCCAAATTTGGCTCACAGCCCACCACTTAGCAGCAAGAAGTTCCTTTTTCACAAAATACTTCATTTCTACGAACTCCAAGTATTGCTAAACTATACTTTTAGCTACACGTGTATCTGCACTTGAAAGAAAATACTCATTGAAGAAAATCTTCATTAGCAAAGACTACGTCATAATACACATGAGCAGAACAGTAGAGCTGAAGAGAAAAGTTCAGCCTTAAAGCTCACATGATTAAGACAAAGCTTAAGCTGTTCAGAAAAAGGGATTTGTTTTTCCTTTTGTATATAAATGAACTTTCTGTGTAAAAATACTAATGATTAAAAATGTGTAATGTTTATATTAGAGAGGGAAAACAAACAAACCCCCAACAACAATAGTGTGACCATTCAATTGCATATACAAAAGTAGTTAAAATCTAAAATCTCAGGCTTCCCAAAACAGCACTTACCCATGCTCTGACTGTTCCTCTGACACAGACACCAACATTTCTGGTGTCAGCAGGCTGGGGACTGCACATAAGCATAATTTAGCAGTAGTGCTCATCAAATGAGAATACAAAGAACAAACAAACAAAAAGGAAAGCAAATTCCTGACTGCAAATTGGTTAGTAGTGCATCCCTTCATTTATCTATTTTAGTATTTACACTTCTTCATTATTTCCACAAGGCTCTAAAAAGAAAGCTCAGGTCCATGCAACTATCCAGCGATAAACTGTTCAACAAGGAAACCAAGTCACAACATCGCTCCATGACTTATCTGGAATTCTTCTGGGAAAAAAGTGCCAAATTTGGAAATGGAAAGTGGGCATGTGCCTTCTAATAAACTCACCCTGCTCTGGCAGGACTTGAATGGAGGGTGATGCAGATTTCCCTTTCAACTTAAGTCCCACCATGCCTTTTGATGAGGCCTTTTGAACCTGTTCCTACGCTGGACTGAATTACCTCAGAGGGATACCTGCAGCACACACTGCTGCCTCTTGAAATGAAAACATCTTTTGCTCCTTCTGAAACAACAGTAACAAAATAATTGGAAAACCAACTCTGTAAAGCAACAACTTGCAGTTACTCAAGGAAAACAAGTGATTTCCAAGGTTATATGCATCTCTTCCCAGATACATCCAGGTGGGTCCCCAGTCTCTTCTCAAAACTTCTGTCCAAGTCCTGAGAAGCACATTAGATCTCTGGAGATGCAGATTTCTTTTAAAAGCCATGCCACCACCCAATACTTAAAGAGGCTTGGGCAGATGCTGGCATCCCCATGCAACTACAATATCTGCAAATGCTTCTGTGGCTATTTATTGCCGAAAGCAAAAATGCATTTAAAATAACTGCCAAGAGTCTTTTTGTTGTTGTTGTTGCTATCTTGCAATCTGTTTTAAAAAAAATTAAACTCAGGTTTCAAACAAATACACAATCCAATTCCCTCATGCTGCAGATTTGTCTGACATTATTAGTCTCACTTGTTTTTTCCTCTGTGTACACTCATGCCTGCTTATATTTCTTTCATTTGACTGCTAAGGCAATCAAAATGAAACAGCTCAGTTTACATTCATGTTTTCATGCATTACCACGGCTCTCAACATTTATAGGCCAATGGGCCACTCTGAACATTTTAAGACTTCTCAGAGCTTGCCATGTATTCCTGTTATCTACCTTTTAACATAAATCTCTTGCGCATTTTCTTATTTTTCATGGTCCCAAGGATGAGCTATGGGAAGGAATGGTTATTTACTCAACGTACCTTTCATTATCTTTAAGAGCTCATCTAACTTTTTGCTGTTGTTGTTGTTTTCAGGTTCTGTGAATACCTTTCCATAAAACTGGTGTCAAATCTAATCTTGCAATATGGCAGGTTAAGCAGGAGATGAGTTAAAAAGGAGCAACTCTTACAAAAGTCCACCTACACTTTCTTTATGAAGAAGTACTGAGCACATGTTACATCATGAAAACACATTCATTGGCTTTTTGGTAATTGAAGGCAGGGTACTGTTGCCTGGCAACTTATCTGATTACCATTTTTTCAAGTATCACATGCACACTTAGATATGTTGCATAATAATGTCTCACTTTTATGCAGCCTAACCCAATGGGAAAAAAAAAGGGGGGAGAAAAAAGTTACCAAAATTAATTCCTTGAGTCTATTTTCTGGCAAAAAAAGGAAAGTGCAAGATTGTAGCTCAAAAACAAGTTGAAACATTAGTATTCCTGATTTTTATTCCTGCATTTTTCTGGCTTGCTGAATGTGCTTATACAAGCATTTTATATCTACTTGTCTTCAAAATGACATTATTAATACCAGCCTCACAGAGACACGGTGAAAATTTATTAAGAATAGAGAGATCCTCAAATGAAAGATGCAGTGGAAGTGCTGGTGTTAGCACTTACAGCTTTTTCATACCCCAAACGTTGCTAAACCCTGTCCAAAGCCTAGCAAATGTTCATCATTGTCATGACATTGTCCAGTCCTTGTTTCTCAAACAAGGATCTCAGACCAAGAAAACTACATTTTTCACATCAGAACGGGATACTTTCCTACCGTCTATGTCTGATACATAGCTGGGAAAAGAAAAAAAGGAAACAAAAACCTACTCCCACCACCCCACACACAAGGCAGCATACCCCAACTTGAAGTTGGAGTACTAAGCATTATCGCAGCTCTTGGAGTTTGTACCATGAAAATCAGAGGGAAATCAGAAAATGTGCATGCATGACCTTTTTTGAAATCAACATGCTCTAGTTATTGATCTGATCTTTGAAACTAATTACACTCTAACTAGTCTATGAAAAAGTAAGCGTTTTATTGCCTTTATGGTGAGCAGTAATGCCTTATAATAAAAACACCAAAGTGAGGCATTGTTTCCAAAAGGCTATCATTATCTAATAGGAGGACTTAGATTCTAGAAGTTAACCTTTTGAAAATCCACAGGTTATACGGCAATATAATATAACATAACGGACTGCCTTCTTTATAGATGCACCGGAGTGTTCCATTGCACAGAACGGAAAGTGCTTAGCTGCTCAGGGTGCTCTTAAATACCATGCTAACCTCTGTCAGCTCAAGTGGCTGAGGCTGATGTTTTGGAAACTCAATATCTCATCTCCATGGTAAAGTATTAAGAGGCAAAGGAAAACCAAAAGCAACAATAGCCAAGCTCAATATTGCTAAAGAATCGTTACATTACCTTCACAGCAGCTCCTCTCTTCATAGTAGACATTCGGGCATTTTTATAAACTGTGCCCTACATCCTGCAGCTCTTGTGCAAGTCCACTTCCAATTAAAAGATTAATTGTGAGATCTGCCTTGGAAAGAACTGCTGGATCAAAATAAACCAAATCACATGGTAGGTATCATGCCACTAGGGGAAACTGTACACATCTTGAAAACACCAGAAATGACAAAAAGAAATAACTTTTTCTAGAACTAACTGGAAGCATCCTTACCATAAACCTCTGCTGATACAAAATACAAAGAAAATACGTGGGTCAAAGTGTCCCATGGGTTAAGGAAGTGTCCTGGTTTTCCTATGTTGGTTAGCAGGAGGAGAAACAGCCAAATATACCACTATTATCAGGCACACTCTGCCATAAGCAGAGACAAACAATTTCACCAAGAGCTCTGAATAGGCACAGGCACAGCCAGGCTGGGCTGGTGGAGCCAAATGAATTTGGTTGCACCAACATATGCATGCATTCGCAATGAAAAAAAATTTAAAAAAGACTCCCCATCCCCAGAAGGCACTTGGCAGTACACACAGCACTATGCCACGGGTACCCATACTAAAGAGAGAGCTTCCCCCTTCAGAAGTACTTCCTCATCCTCATGTTCCCAGCAGAATCAGAAAAAACAGGACAGAAAGGTACTCCACAGAAGTTTTTCATATAGGCTACCTTCAATATGTGGCACACCTGAGAGCAAACATCCAGCAAGGAAGGAGTCAAACAGCAGCTTCACCAGACTATGATATAAACCCTTACCTAGTGACTGCTAATGCTTGGATCTTACGCACTGAAAGCAAGACAGCAGCATTTGTGGTAGGGAAGATTCCCTCAGTCATTTAATCCAGCTTTGACAGAAGCATGTGAAGGCGGGGGAGTTTCGAAATAAGGTTGTGGTGAACTCTTGTGCACTGACACCAATAAAAATCCAGAACAAAAGAAAGGGTAACATGAAACACTTCCCTCTTTTATGCAATGATTAGGCACCTCTGACCTAGTAACTGATAGGTATGCTCATTCAGACATGCCTGCAAACAAACCTCTAAAGCAGTCTAGCTGCCTCCAAGGACATGTTAAGGAGCAGCACGCACCTGTAAAGTCTTTTCTACTCATTTTAAAAGGTGAGGTGCACTATGCACTGGGAGGTGCATAGGCTCTGGCTCGCACTAAACATTATTGCGTGTATCATTTACAACCAGGAATGTAGGTCTCTGGCTAACCAGAAAGAGAGCGTTGTTCCGAATTGGCACAGATGTTGGTAATCTGCTCCTGCAGAGCCAAAGCTTTTACCCAGTCTGGCTTTCTTTCAAGACTCCTTGTAGTTGCCTGCAGAACCGCCCTACCTAGGAGCTCAGGAACCACCTGCGTGCTCCTGCCTCACAAATCATCGCAGAAATGTGAAAAGCAGACCAGTTTATTTCTGACGTACAAGGCTAACCAGCCCTCTGCTCCCCCACCCAGTCTGTACCTGAGCCTGCAAGCAACCTAAGTACCTAAGGGCAAGCAACATGGTCAGGTGTTCAAGTCATCAGGGAATACTAAAACACACACAGGAAGCAGATCAGGGAAGCAAAATGGATCATTTACAAACCTGTACCAAGCAAGCCACAAGCAGGTAATACCTTTTACGGTGGAAAACATTAGCTAATTAGATGATCAAATTTCTTTCAAAAGAAGCAAGGAAATATGCCATACTTCACCTTTTGTGCTAGGCAAATTTTGTTTTGAATGAGAACTCCCACTTGTATTGTTCATCTCTTTCACCCCAGAAACAACCCAGGAATACTGCTGGACACTGCTTCATTTGCAGCTATACAGGCACACAGAGGACAGAAGGGACCACGTATAAGTTTGCTCAGGCGCCATTTCCCCATCTGCAGGACATGGCTCTGCCATCTGAAAGCTTAGCAAGGTACTGCAACTACTATGGAAGTAGGCAGTGTCCCACAAAAGGAAGGTGAGGAGTGGGAATAAAGGCTTTTCCTGCCTCCTGTTGGCAAACAATTTCTCTAAGTAATTGACCCATTTTCTACAGAATAAAAAGCTCTAAGGAATGAAGCACTGCTGCCCTTTAATTAGCCACGTCATTACCTCTCCTCTTACCATGTAATAGCAGGCTGCCTGAGACTGAAAAAAGCAGCAAAACAAAACAACACAACAACTTAATTTCATTTTCTTAAACATGGCATTTGCTGAAGGCAAAGGTACAATTTGCAACAACATCTCCCATTATTTCTGTTATTTCATCATCAGAACAAAAAGGTCTCCTCAATGCCACCACTCTTTAAGCCTCCCCCATATATTAAGCTTCTCCTTTATAGAAGCTTTCTCAGGATGCTTTCCAATCATCTTCCATGAGGAAAAACTTCTATTCACTGTCAGTTTAAGAACAGAAAGGACTCCTTTGCCTAAAACCTAGTCAACTCTCCTGCATATCATTTTATTAAAATTTCATGCAGTTTCTTGCAACACAGCTCAGCAACTTGGATAAGGACAAAAGTCCTTTAGTCTAAGGAGATTAGATGTGCATATCATGAACAAAGAGCAAAAAAATACCACACCACAGCTATGGTGGCAAGTCCAAAACTGGCAAAGGACTGTTCAAATGAGTGTCACACAGACAACCCTTAGTGACCAATCCCATGATGCAAATAGAAAACCTACAAAGCCTGGCCCCAGACTCTGCAATAACTACGATTCTGAGGATACAAACAAAACTTGCATGTGAAGACAGCAAAAGTTGGGGGTTTTCCCTCGACCCAGGAAGAGTGCACAGCCTCTTCTCCCTCTCCCCTACTTTCCCCTCAGACCTCCTTCTTCCTGTTACGCTTAGTCCCCAGTTTCAGTTCATTTCTAACGCTTTGGGGGAAGGCAAAAATTAAATTAATCTGGCTAATTACGCCATGAGAAGAAACACCCTTCCTGGACACAATGCAGTGCCTGCCAGAAGCCCTGAAACACCTGATCCAAGGACAGTCATTGTCTTAACCAAGGGGTCAGGTATTAGAAGCACATTTATGATGCTGGAAAACAACTCCTCTCCCCAGATCTTGATGTGTGGGAATAAACAAATTACAAGGCCAAAGAGATCCCTATTTCTTCACTCCTTAGGACTTCTCCAAGATGCTGAATTAAAGTACAGATTGTAAAAAGATATCTTAATTTAAAGACTCCACTGCTATTGAGTTCATCACCTTATCCAAAAACCTCTTCCTGTCTTACACTAAAGCCAGAAGCCTCCATCTCCCTTCAAGGTTAAATTTGCCTTTCACTGTTTGGCATCACATCACATTATGACATTGTCAGAGAAACTGCCGAGTCCTCACTACCAGGTATCCCTTCCATATGGATGCAGAGATCTAGGTTACCCTCAACCCACATGTCTATGCTATCCCTACCTCTTGTTTTAGACCCCCTTGATCATTTTGTAAACTGCCACAGGATCTTGCCACAAAAATGCCAAGGTCTGAACTCTTCAAACAAGCAGCTTCTTTTCTTCCTGCACCATCAGCCTGCAGTAGAGTGGGAACAGCAATACCAACCAAGTCCATGGATGTGTTGCCAGAGCCTCAGCAAGAAGTTAAACAATCACAAGCAGTACTACCTCAATACCTGCTTGTCCCTCCATTTCCTTTCCACCAGACTATACTACTCCCCTTTTTCAATATGCCTGTGATCAGAGGATCTCAGGATGTTTCGCAGACATTGAATAAGCTACTTGTAACGGTTCTGCTGATCTTTGTTTCAGTATAGGAAGCTGCTATAGCTACTAGTTAAACCATTTGGAGTTAACTTGTCTTTCAATTTGACATGCTGTGAAATGCCTGTACCTCAGTGTCCCCTTCTACAGACTGGGAGACACCCATGTTCTTCAGTGGGGCCTCAACACAGAACTAAGAAATTTTCAGATATATGCACAGAGAGCATATATTTCTCAAGGAGAAAGTACCTACTTTCAAATTAAGTGAAGAATCTTAATTTATCCACAGTAGCAAGCTGCTGTCTCCTAACACAGAAAAGCCAACATTCCTGTATGGAAGAGGTCATACCTTTTCACTGGGACTAGGCACTGGGATTCAGGAAGGACCTTCAGGACTTGTCATGGGCATCAGAGTACCTTACAGACTTTCTACAGTTTTCCTCAGTGCTGGTTCAAAGTGGCTACAGGCATTAAGGATTCCACATCAGTAAGTCTTCCTTTTCTGTTTCCTGATAATTTATGGTAGTTTTTGTTTCCATGACATCCTATTTACCACCAAACAGTAGCTAGCCCCATCTCTAACTGATGCCGTACATATACTATTATTGCATTTGTGTCCCTGGAAACCCCAGAACGGAGCTCTTTGGGCAGTCTATTCTTGCAAATCCCCAACACATACAGCTCTGGCAGTCACGGAGCTGTTACCACCTGCAAAAAAAAAATCAGCTCCTGCAGGGACTGCTTTTTTCTTCAGAATTAAGAGGGAAACAGGATAAACCTGTCAAACAAACGATGGCAGAGAACAATATGAAATACTTCACATAATAGTCTTACTGCGTCTGCTGTGTAATTAGGAGGCTTAACAAGTTTGTACATCCCCAGTAGTTTTGGACCAGCAATGCAAAATGCTCTCTAGGAAGTCCCAGTGTAATGCTACAGCTCAAGATGAGTGACATGGAGCACCTCCCAGGATCCCTGCTCCTAAGCATCCTAGAGACAATTTTCAAAAACCCAGGGTAAATGGGGGGCAGGAGAAATCAAATTTTCCATTTTGCCAAAATTCAGCTATTCTGAATATTTTTCCATACCAAAAGTGGAACAACAGCAAACATCCTGAGACTAAATTTTTAAAAAAGGAAAAACTCTCAGTTTTTAGCTGATTGTATTATCTGTATCGCTGATCTCTGGGCTTTACACACAGGAGTCATTCACAAGGTTGCTGGTAAGTCACTGAACGGACCAGAGCCAGCCCCCACCTTCCAGTTTTGCTCTGCAAACGCTGAGCTGCCTCAGAGCTATTTCCCCTTTCCTAGAATAAAGTTTTGCTGAAATCAATACAAAAAGATGTTTCCAGACATTCCTTTTGTCAAAAAAAGGCACTTTCCAGTGAAAAGCACTTTCGATTTCAACCACCTTTCCACCCTGCTCCCCCACAGCCCCGAGGACTTCGCCGCCGGGGCCAGGGGCTCCCCAGCAAAACCCCCGCGACACGCACCGCGCCCCCGCCCCGAGGCGCTGCGGGGGCGGCGGGGCCCGGCCTGCGGGAGCGGCGCCGCTCCCCGAGAGGGGGCGACACCCTGGTCCCGGTACCCCCGCGGGGCTCGCCGGCGGCGGGGAGGCCGGTGCTTCTCCGCCCGCCTTTGTCTCGCTCCGGCCGGCGCCCGCCTGGGGGGGCGGCACGGCCCTGCAGCCGCCGCCGCAAACCGAAACCAACAGCGCCGGGCGCCATCCCCGCCCTCCGCCCCGGGCAGCGCATCCCCCGCGCCGCTCGGCTTGCGGGGAGGCCGCCGCGGGCCCCGCGCACCCACCGGCGGGGCGGCCGTGAGGGCAGCGGCGGCCGCGGGCAGCTGCCGGTGCCGCCGCTCGGCCCCCCCGCCCGGCCGGCCGCGCCGCGGCTCGTGGCCTCACCGGTGTCCATGGGTGCCCCGCGGCCGGCGGGAGGTGAAGTGTGCCAGTGACACTCGCCCGTAGTATGGATGCGGTTTCAATCTGCACATGCTCGCTCCCGACAGCCAGCCTGCCCCGCCACCTTCCCTTAACTCTTTCCGCACTGCCGCGCACTGCCTCCCCCGCCCCGCCGCGCTGGCCCCGCGCCCCCTAGCCGGGGTGCAGCCGGTCCTCTCGGTCCGCGGGCCCGGGGCCCCTCCTGAGGCCAGCGCGGGGCAGAGAGACCGAACACGGCGGGGACCCACGGGAGGGACCTGTCTCCCCCAGAGAACTGGACCCTGTCGGTGTGCGCTCAGGTGTGCGTCGGGAACACCCTGCCCAAAAAGCTCCCCAAACGCCTGTGGTGGTTGCTGTAGGTGGAAACACGATGTTTCACAGCGCTCCTTGGCTGGTG